TAGTAGTGGTGGTAGTAGTAGTAGTAGTAGTAGTAGTAGTAGTAGTAGTAGTAGTAGTAGTAGTAGTAGTAGTAGTAGTAGTAGTAGTAGTAGTAGTGGTAGTAGTAGTACTAGTGGAGGTGTAAAGCAGTAGTAGTGGGGAGGTAGTAAGAGTAGGAGGGGCCCGTCAAATACGTATCGTTATTTGTGTATCGTTCTAGTCACGGTATTGTGCCTTTCTTTTGTTTTTGTAGTGTTGCTGTACTTTAGTTCCTGTTTTCTTAGTCTTCACTGCTATTTCCTAGCTGAACCGACGACCTGCTTCCTGTCTTACCCTGTGTGTGTGTGCGTGTGTGTACTCACCTAATTGTACTCACCTAATTGTGGTTGCAGGGGTCGAGACTCAGCTCCTGGCCCCGCCTCTTCACTGATCGCTACTGGATCCTCTCTCTCTCTGCTTCCTGAGCTTTGTCATACCTCTTCTTAAACCTATGTATGGTTCCTGCCTCCACTACTTCACTTGCTAGGCTATTCCACTTGCTGACAACTCTATGACTGAAGAAATACTTCCTAACGTCCCTGTGACTCGTCTGAGTCTTCAGCTTCCAGTTGTGACCCCTTGTCCCTGTGTCCCCTCTCTGGAACATCCTATCTCTGTCCACCTTGTCTATTCCCCGAAGTATCTTGTATGTCGTTATCATGTCTCCCCTGACCCTTCTGTCCTCCAGTGTCGTTAGTCCGATTTTCCTTAACCTTTCCTCGTACGACATTCCCTTGAGCTCTGGGACTAGCCTTGTTGCAAACCTTTGTACTTTCTCTAACTTCTTGACGTGCTTGACCAGGTGTGGGTTCCAGACTGGTGCTGCATACTCCAGTATGGGGCAGTATGTGTGTGTGTGTGTGTGTGTGTGTGTTTGTACTCACCTAATTGTGGTTGCAGGGGTCGATACTCAGCACCTGACCCCGCGCGTGTGTGTGTACTCACCTAATTGTGGTTGCAGGGGTCGAGACTCAGCTCCTGGCCCCTGTGTGTGTGTGTGTGTGTGTGTGTGTGTGTGTGTGCGTGTGTGTGTGTGTGTATGTGTGCGTGTGTGTGTGTGTGTATGTGAGGGGAAGGGGGTATATGCGTGTGTATGTGGGGGGATGTGTGGGTGTGTGTGAGGATAGTGTGTGGATGAGGTCACAGCTAGCATGGAGGGGTGGCATGGGGTACTACCATCATGGAAAGGGGTAGTGGGCACTACCATCATGGAGGGTGGTAGTGGGGTACTACCATTATGGAGGGTGGTAGTGGGGTACTACCATTATGGAGGGTGGTAGTGGGGCATTACCATCATGGAGGGGTGGTAGGAGGGCACTACCATCATAGAGGGTGGTAGTGGGGCACTACCATCTTGGAGGTTGGTAGTGGGGCACTACCATCATGGAGGGTGGTAGTGGGGTACTACCATCATGGAGGGGTGGTAGGAGGGCACTTCCATCATGGAGGGTGGTAGTGGGGTACTACCATTATGGAGGGTGGTAGTGGGGTACTACCATTATGGAGGGTGGTAGTGGGGTACTACCATTATGGAGGGTGGTAGTGGGGCACTACCATCATGGATGGGTGGTAGGAGTGCACTACCATCATGGAGGGGGAGTATGGGGGCACTATCACATGGGGGGGGTGGTAGGGGCATTACCATCATGGAGGGGGAGTATGGGGGAATTTACCATCATGGAGGGTGGTAGGGGAGCACTACCATCATGGAGGGTGGAGGGGGGCACTACCATCATGGAGGGTGGTAGGGGGCATTACCATCATGGAGGGGTGGTCGGGGGCACTACTATCATGGAGGGGTGGTATGGGGGCACTACTATCATGGAGCGTTGGTAGGGGGCACTACCATCATGGAGGGTGGTAGGGGGCATTCCATCAGGGGACGGGTGGTTGGGGCACTACCATCATGGAGGGGTGGTCGGGGGGCACTACTATCATGGAGAGGTGGTAGGGGGCACTACTATCAGGGAGAGGGTGGTAGGGGGGCACTACTATCATGGAGGGGTGGTAGGGGGGCACTCTATCATGGAGGGGTGGTTTAGGGGGCCATACTATCAGGGAGGTGGTAGGGGGGCACTACTATCATGGGAGGTGGTAGGGGGCACTCTATCATGGAGAGGTGGTAGGGGGGCACTACTATCTTTGAAGGGGTGGTAGGGGGCACTATATCATGGAGGGGTGGTAGGGGGGCACTCTATCATGGAGAGGTGGTAGGGGGGCACTACTATCATGGAGAGGGGGTTTGGGGGGACTACTATCATGGAGGGGTGGTAGGGGGCACTACTATCATGGAGGGTGGTAGGGGGGCATACTATCATGGAGGGGTGGTAGGGGGCACTACTATCATGGAGAGGTGGTAGGGGGGCACTACTATCATGGAGAGGTGGTAGGGGGGCACTACTATCATGGAGGGGTGGTAGGGGGGCATTTACTATCATGGAGGGGGGTTTAGGGGGGCACTACTATCATGGAGAGGTGGTAGGGGGGCATACTATCATGGAGAGGGGGTTTAGGGGGGCACTACTATCATGGAGAGGTGGTAGGGGGGCACTACTATCATGGAGGGTGGGTAGGGGGCATACTATCATGGAGAGGTGGTAGGGGGGCACTACTATCATGGAGAGGTGGTAGGGGGGCACTATATCATGGAGGGGTGGTAGGGGGGAAATACTATCATGGAGGGGTGGGTAGGGGGGCACTACTATCATGGAGGGGGTGGTAGGGGGGCACTACTATCAGGGGAGGGGTGGTAGGGGGGCACTACTATCATGGAGAGGGGTGGTAGGGGGGCACTATATCATGGAGGGGTGGTAGGGGGGCACTACTACCCATGGAGGGGTGGTAGGGGGGCACTACTATCATGGAGAGGTGGTAGGGGGGCACTACTATCATGGAGAGGTGGTAGGGGGGCACTACTATCATGGAGGGGTGGTAGGGGGGCACTACTATCATGGAGGGTGGTAGTGGGGTACTACCATCATGGAGGGGTGGTAGGAGGGCACTTCCATCATGGAGGGTGGTAGTGGGGTACTACCATTATGGAGGGTGGTAGTGGGGTACTACCATTATGGAGGGTGGTAGTGGGGTACTACCATTATGGAGGGTGGTAGTGGGGCACTACCATCATGGATGGGTGGTAGGAGTGCACTACCATCATGGAGGGGGAGTATGGGGGCACTATCACATGGAGGGGTGGTAGGGGGCATTACCATCATGGAGGGGGGTATGGGGGAACTACCATCATGGAGGAGTGGTAGGGGAGCACTACCATCATGGAGGGTGGTAGGGGGCACTACCATCATGGAGGGTGGTAGGGGGCATTCCCATCATGGAGGGGTGGTCGGGGGGCACTACTATCTGGAGGGGTGGTATGGGGGCACTACTATCATGAGCGGTGGTAGGGGCCTACCATCATGGAGGGTGGGTAGGGGCATTACCATCATGGAGGGTGGTTGGGGCATACCATCATGGAGGGGTGGTCGGGGGGCACTACTATCATGGAGAGGTGGTAGGGGGCACTACTATATGGAGAGGTGGTAGGGGGGCACTACTATCATGGGGGTGGTAGGGGGGCACTACTATCATGGAGGGGTGGTGGGGGCATTACTATCATGGAGAGGTGGTAGGGGGGGCACTACTATATGGAGAGGTGGTAGGGGGGCACTATATCATGGAGAGGTGGTAGGGGGCATACTATCATGAAGGGGTGGTAGGGGGCACTACTATCATGGGGGGGTGGTAGGGGGCACTACTATCATGGAGAGGTGGTAGGGGGGCACTACTATCATGGAGAGGTGGTAGGGGGGGCACTACTATCATGGAGGGGTGGTAGGGGGGCACTACTATCATGGAGAGGTGGTGGGGGGCACTACTATCATGGAGGGGTGGTAGGGGGGCATACTATCATGGAGAGGTGGTAGGGGGCATATATCATGGAGAGGTGGTAGGGGGGGCATACTATCATGGGGGGTGGTAGGGGGGCACTACTATCAGGAGAGGTGGTAGGGGGGCACTATTATCATGGAGAGGTGGTAGGGGGGCACTACTATCATGGAGAGGTGGTAGGGGGGCACTACTATCATGGAGAGGTGGTAGGGGGGCACAAACTATCATGGAGGGGTGGTAGGGGGCACTACTTAAATGGAGAGGTGGTAGGGGGGCACTACTATCATGGAGAGGTGGTAGGGGGGGCACTACTATCATGGAGGGGTGGTAGGGGGGCACTACTATCATGGAGGGGGTTTGGTAGGGGGGCACTACTATCATGGAGGGGTGGTAGGGGGGCACTACTATCATGGAGGGGTGGTTAGGGGGGCACTACTATCATGGAGAGGTGGTAGGGGGGCACTACTATCATGGAGGGGTGGTGGGGGGCACTACTATCATGGAGGGGTGGTAGGGGGGCACTACTATCATGGAGAGGTGGTAGGGGGGCACTACTATCATGGAGAGGTGGTAGGGGGGCCACTACTATCAGGGAGGGGTGGTAGGGGGGCATACTATCATGGAGAAGGTGGTAGGGGGGCACTACTTTCATGGAGAGGTGGTAGGGGGGCATTTACTATCATGGAGAGGTGGTAGGGGGGCACTACTATCATGGAGGGGTGGTAGGGGGGCATTTACTATCATGGAGAGGTGGTAGGGGGGCACTACTATCATGGAGAGGGTGGTAGGGGGGCACTACTATCATGGAGGGGTGGTAGGGGGGCACTACTATCATGGAGGGGTGGTAGGGGGGCACTACTATCATGGAGGGGGGGTTTGGGGGGCATACTATCATGGAGGGGTGGGTGGGGGGGGGCCTATATCATGGAGAGGTTTGGTAGGGGGGCACTACTATCATGGAGGGGTGGTAGGGGGGCATATATCATGGAGGGGTGGTAGGGGGGCACTACTATCATGGACGGGTGGTAGGGGGGCACTACTATCATGGAGAGGTGGTAGGGGGGCACTACTATCATGGAGGGGTGGTAGGAGGGCACTACCATCATGGAGAGGGGTATGAGAGCCACAACACTGGGTGAGGCACTGGCACTCAGAGGAACTAGTTGGCACTACTCACTCACAGAAGACCCGGTCATCCTCCTCCTCTCTCTCCCTCCATTAACAGTAAGATACATTTCTCTTGTTATCTCTCACTTTCTCCTCATCAGTGCTTCCAGAGTTACAATTTCTAAGCAGACTACTTAGAGTTAATGTAACCTAGAAGGCTAGTTGGTTAATGGGGTTTCAAGCCTATCTGCTACACCAGGGTCATTAAGACAACATCTCACCTGTCTACCACAAGTCAACAATACTTATTGATGTAGTTTTTAAGTATTATTTTCGTGAATAATGTATATTATGTATATTATGTATTATGTATAATGTATTATGTATTATGTATTTCACAGTTCTTCACTCATACATACTCTAGCAGTGTCACTGTATGAGCAGAGGTGTATGGTACAGTGTCACTGTATGAGCAGAGGTGTATGTTACAGTGTCACTGTATGAGCAGAGGTGTATGTTACAGTGTCACTGTATGAGCAGAAGTGTATGTTACAGTCACTGTATGAGCAGAAGTGTATGTTACAGTGTCACTGTATGAGCAGAAGTGTATGTTACAGTGTCACTGTATGAGCAGAGGTGTATGTTACAGTCACTGTATGAGCAGAAGTGTATGTTACAGTGTCACTGTATGAGCAGAGGTGTATGTTACAGTCACTGTATGAGCAGAGGTGTATGTTACAGTGTCACTGTATGAGCAGAGGTGTATGGTACAGTGTCACTGTATGAGCAGAAGTGTATGTTACAGTGTCACTGTATGAGCAGAAGTGTATGTTACAGTGTCACTGTATGAGCAGAGGTGTATGGTACAGTGTCACTGTATGAAGCAGAGGTGTATGTTACGTGTCACTGTATGAGCAGAGGTGTATGGTACAGTGTCACTGTATGAGCAGAGGTGTATGTTACAGTGTCACTGTATGAGCAGAGGTGTATGGTACAGTGTCACTGTATGAGCAGAAGTGTATGTTACAGTCACTGTATGAGCAGAGGTGTATGTTACAGTGTCACTGTATGAGCAGAAGTGTATTTTACAGTGTCACTGTATGAGCAGAGGTGTATGGTACAGTGTCACTGTATGAGCAGAGGTGTTTTGGTTCAGTGTCACTGTATGAGCAGAAGTGTTTGTTACAGTGTCACTGTATGGCAGAGGTGTATGGTACAGTGTCACTGTATGAGCAGAAGTGTATGTTACAGTGTCACTGTATGAGCAGAAGTGTATGTTACAGTGTCACTGTATGAGCAGAGGTGTATGGTACAGTGTCACTGTATGAGCAGAGGTGTATGTTACAGTGTCACTGTATGAGCAGAGGTGTATGGTTTCAGTGTCACTGTATGAGCAGAGGTGTATGTTACAGTGTCACTGTATGAGCAGAGGTGTATGGTACAGTGTCACTGTATGAGCAGAAGTGTATGTTACAGTCACTGTATGAGCAGAGGTGTATGTTACAGTGTCACTGTATGAGCAGAAGTGTATGTTACAGTGTCACTGTATGAGCAGAGGTGTATGGTACAGTGTCACTGTATGAGCAGAGGTGTATGTTACAGTGTCACTGTATGAGCAGAGGTGTATGTTACAGTGTCACTGTATGAGCAGAGGTGTATTGTTACGTGTCACTGTATGAGCAGAAGTGTATGGTACAGTGTCACTGTATGAGCAGAGGTGTATGTTACAGTGTCACTGTATGAGCAGAGGTGTATGTTACAGTGTCACTGTATGAGCAGAGGTGTATGTTACAGTGTCACTGTATGAGCAGAGGTGTATGTTACAGTGTCACTGTATGAGCAGAAGTTTTATGGTACAGTGTCACTGTATGAGCAGAGGTGTATGTTACAGTGTCATGTATGAGCAGAGGTGTATGTTACAGTGTCACTGTATGAGCAGAGGTGTATGTTACAGTGTCACTGTATGAGCAGAGGTGTATGGTACAGTGTCACTGTATGAGCAGAGGTGTATGGTACAGTGTCACTGTATGAGCAGAAGTGTATGTTACAGTGTCACTGTATGAGCAGAGGTGTATGTTACAGTGTCACTGTATGAGCAGAGGTGTATGTTACAGTGTCACTGTATGAGCAGAGGTGTATGTTACAGTGTCACTGTATGAGCAGAGGTGTATGTTACAGTGTCACTGTATGAGCAGAGGTGTATGTTACAGTGTCACTGTATGAGCAGAAGTGTATGTTACAGTGTACTGTATGAGCAGAGGTGTATGTTACAGTGTCACTGTATGAGCAGAGGTGTATGTTACAGTGTCACGTATGAGCAGAGGTGTATGTTACAGTGTCACTGTATGAGCAGAGGTGTATGTTACAGTGTCACTGTATGAGCAGAAGTGTATGTTACAGTGTCACTGTATGGCAGAGGTGTATGTTACGTGTCACTGTATGAGCAGAGGTGTATGTTACAGTGTCACTGTATGAGCAGAGGTGTATGTTACAGTGTCACTGTATGAGCAGAGGTGTATGTTACAGTGTTCACTGTTTTGAGCAGAGGTGTATGGTACAGTGTCACTGTATGAGCAGAGGTGTATGTTACAGTGTCACTGTATGAGCAGAAGTGTATGTTACAGTGTCACTGTATGAGCAGAGGTGTATGGTACAGTGTCACTGTATGAGCAGAGGTGTATGGTACAGTGTCACTGTATGAGCAGAGGTGTATGGGACAGTGTCATGTATGAGCAGAGGTGTATGGTACAGTGTCACTGTATGAGCAGAGGGTATGGTACAGTGTCACTGTATGAGCAGAGGTGTTGGTACAGTGTCACTGTATGAGCAGAGGTTGTATGGTCAGTGTCACTGTATGAGCAGAGGTGTTTTGGTTTCAGTGTCACTGTATGAGCAGAGGTGTATGGTACAGTGTCACTGTATGAGCAGAGGTGTATGGTACAGTGTCACTGTATGAGCAGAGGTGTATGGTACAGTGTCACTGTATGAGCAGAGGTGTTGGTCAGTGTCACTGTATGAGCAGAGGTGTATGTTACAGTTGTCACTGTTATGAGCAAAGTGTATGTTACAGTGTCACTGTATGAGCAGAGGTGTATGGTACAGTGTCACTGTATGAGCAGAGGTGTATGTTACAGTGTCACTGTATGAGCAGAGGTGTATGGTACAGTGTCACTGTATGAGCAGAAGTGTATGTTACAGTGTCACTGTATGAGCAGAGGTGTATGGTACAGTGTCACTGTATGAGCAGAGGTGTATGTTACAGTGTCACTGTATGAGCAGAGGTGTATGTTACAGTGTCACTGTATGAGCAGAAGTGTATGTTACAGTGTCACTGTATGAGCAGAGGTGTATGGGTTTCAGTGTCACTGTATGAGCAGAGGTGTATGTTACAGTGTCACTGTATGAGCAGAGGTGTATGTTACAGTGTCACTGTATGAGCAGAGGTGTATGTTACAGTGTCACTGTATGAGCAGAGGTGTATGTTTAGTGTCACTGTATGAGCAGAGGTGTTTTGTTACAGTGTCACTGTATGAGCAGAGGTGTATGTTACAGTGTCACTGTAATATCTGGTGTGTTTGTACTCTTCTATTATGATATAAAAACTATTGAGTGATTAACTATTATTTCTACTACTGCTGTTACTACTAGTAATTTATTTAGTAATTTTAGCATACAAACAGAGGTACAAAAAATACAGGTAAGAGCAGCATGCCAAAGCCACTTATATGCATAGCATTACGGGCTGGCTTAAAATTAACTTAAGATTAACTAAGCAATAATGAAATCAGTGATAAAACATTATTGTAAACAGATAACTATAAAGCACAAATGAGTATTACAAAGACAGGTCATATGGTTGCTTGCATTGCTGTACATTCAGTCGAATGGAGTATTCTGTTAGGTCTGTTAGATTGGGTCCTAGGTTTAACATTTGTGTGATATAATTGTGAGTAACATATAGGACATACAATTTATAAGGTTCAGTTATTCAGGGCCTTTTATGTGCATTGAGTTTTTGCATAGTGTGAGATGGACACGAGGAACATCAAAGTGATCTGTGCCTTGTGTTATGGTCATGTGTTCTGTTGAGGTTGGCAAGGAGATGTTTGAGGGGAGGGTTAATATCAGAGTTAAGTGTTCTATGTATGTAATAGGTGCAATAATAAGTATGGATGTTTTGTATGGTGAGTAGGTTGAGTGTTTTGAATATTGGTGGAGTGTGCTGCCTGTAGTGAGAATTTGTTATCATTCTAACTGCAGCCTTTTGTTGGGTAATTTGTGGTCTGAGAGGTTAATTGTTGTTGAGCCCCATGCACAAATTCCATAGGTGAGATAGGGGGAAATAAGAGAGTGATATAGGGCCAGGAGGGCTGACTGTGGACATAGTACCGTATCTTTGATAGTATGCCTACAGTCTTGGAAATTTTCTTTATAAATTTGTTGTATATGTGTATGAAATTTGAGTCTATTATCGAGGTGGATTCCTAGGAAAATTTTTTCTCTGTTAGCTTTGTGTACGTGATCCGTTTATTGTTATGTTAAGAGGTACATCTGTAGCTCTGTTACCAAACTGAATGAAGTAGGTTTTGTCAATGTTTAGTGTAAGTTTGTTAGTCCTCATCCAGGTAGATATTTTTTGTAATTCTATTTTACAGTATTGGCTAGCATGAATGGGCTGGGTGGGAGAGCGTATGTAGTTCATCTGCAAAATAGTGTGGGTTTGGGGTAATTGCGAAACATTTGGTAGGTCATTTTTTGTATAGGAGAAAGAGAAGAGGGCCCAGGACACTTCCCTGGGGGACACCCAAATGTAATTGGTTGTGCGGAAGAGCTTGCCCATTTGATACACATATTGGCTTCTGTTGCTGAGGTAAGACTTGAGGTAGTTGAGGGAGTGCCCTCTTATACCATAGTGTGACAATTTTACGTGGAGCAAGTCATGGTCAACTGTATCAAAAGCTTTACGTAAGTCAATGAAGATCCCCAGTGGGACTTCTTTTTTCTCTATTGCAGTGTATATATGTTCTAGCATGTGTATAATAGCATCATTAGTATTTTTATTAGGCCTGAATCCAAATTGGCAGGGGTTGAGAATGTTATGGGAGATGAGGTAGGAG